ACATACTCATTGTTAGAGTAATATCCGTCAATATATTGGTTGTCCCCTTCATCATAATCTATCAAACACGTCATGCTATTGATTTGAAACCATCCTCTTCATCATCATTCTCGGATTCGACACTTGCATTATCATCTTCTTTTGTCACTCCCGTGGAAGGAATTATATCTTGATGTGGAGCGCTATCATTGAAGACATTTGAAGTGCCCACAAGCGAAGGACCGCTCAAGTATTATGACTGTGTGCATCCTATATCTTGTTGCGGAGATAAAAAGCCGGCGGAGTTAACTTTAAGGTCCTCCAACATGCGAGAGTATATTTCATCGTGATTTACCGATTTGCCCAATTTCTGTGATACTTTTTAATAAATAATTCCACCGAATGCTTCTCATCATGTAATATTCTAATAAGACTCATATCATAGTAACTTGAGATTTGAATGTCGCTTGTTCTATTCTCCGTAACAGGATAATTGTAATTAACGTTGAGGTGATACTCACGTGAATTGGTTAATGTAAGTTTGTGTAAGTCATTAACCAATTCATCGAAAGTACATGATTTTGATATAAACAACAGATTCGTCACACCTCCTTCATATACGGGCATATTATTCTCAAGATAGTTAATTTTTCCATCACATGAACAAAGAATTACGATTTGATCGTTCATTGTTACCTCTGAAGAGTAAAAAAATCCAATATCAATATTACACGAAAAACACAAAAATATTATTTCCTCTAATATCGATTTTAGACATCCATAATTTTAACCAAATGTCAAACCTTTATAATACACTAAATTTTACAATTTTTGATAATTTCCCCTCTAACTTCATACACAAATTTCTTTAAATTTTCTTCACAAAATTCATAAATATTTCAAAACTTATTTCAAAATCTAAAATTAAACAAGTTATTAGCATGAGATAGTGAGAATATATAAAAAATTAGGAGAAAATTTTTTTTCTAAAGATTTTACCTAAAATTTGTCGATGCCCTAATTTTCGGTGAACTCCGACGGTGACGGCGACAGGATCGATCATCGTCGGTGATGGTTGGCCAACCCGGTGGCGGTAGGGATGG